AAGCCAATACGTGCCTTAAAAACCTCTTCAAAATTTGCAAAAATCAAACTTACTCATCCAATAACTGCCACTGGCGCTTAAGCGCGAGGCCTCTGACGCTTAGGCGCAGCCTTCTCTGTTTAACAGACACGTAAGCACCGGATCTGGCGCTTAGGCGCCAAAACACTTTTACATAATTTTCACCTATTTGCTCTAAATTTAATCATTTTTCATTTCTTTAAGCATTTTTCACCTTTTTTACCTGTACCTGAAAGAAAAATGCAAAAATATCTTCCATTAAAGTGCAATATCTCAAAAATAAGTATAAAAATGTGTCTAAAACACTATATATTTTATGTGTATCAACTATCTTTCCTCAATTTCTCCATTTTTTCTTCCACATGGCTGGCCAGTCTGTCTTTGCCACTATTATTTATGCAGGTTGTACCAAAAGTGCTAGAATGGAGTTGTGGCTTGCACACTCACAGTTAGCAATTCTATAAATAGAAGCTAGTTGGTAGGAGGGGATTTCAACTGTATTGATTCCCCCTCTGAAAAGATTGTTGGTAGGCCTCCTAATCTCTCCACATTGACTAATTTTATTGACAGTATGCAATCAACTGAATTATTGGATTTAGGATTTCAAGGTCCTCAGTTCACTTGACAAAGAGGCTAGTTATGTGAAAGGCTAGACAAATTTTTGGTGAATGATGGATGGTTCTAGGCTTTTCTGAATACTTCAGTCACCCATCTCAGTCTTGTTGGATCAAATCACAGACCTCTCCTCTTTTCAATTGCTGCTTCTTTAGTTTGTGGTCCTTTCCCATTCATATATTTAAATATGTGGTCTAGGCATTGTCAGTTTCTCCAAATTGTCTGAGCTAGTTGGAGTGGTATTGAACATCCTAACCCATGAATTAAGCTTTGGAGGTTGTAGAAGAAAGTTGGTTTGGCGCTTAAACACTGGAATTGGACTAAATTTTGTGATGTCTTCAAATTAATGGACCAAGCTGAGAGGGATTTGTTAACGTTAGAGCAGGATGTTGCTTCTGGTTAGGTGGATGAGTCCTCCTTGTTTGAAGCAAATGAGAAGTTCCTAACCACAGTGGCTTGGTGATGGTCGTCTATATATATATATATTGAAACTTAATATTTTAACTTTTGAAACTATGATACTGAATCGATCTCATGCATGTAATAATTTAAATAAATTAGTACAACATCGCAAGTGACGTACCTATCCCGAGGAATAGACACATTACTTAGTAGTAAGACTCCATCAAATAAACTAAAGAATTTATGACATCTCTTTTAGTCTGCGAAACCTATATGTTGATCGATAAGTTCCTCTATCTAATATAAAACATTAGACAAGGTTTATATTAAGTTGGGTTCTAAAGTTTCCTGTAAGGAAAAACCCATATACTTAATTACATCTTAGACAATCGAAATCGCCTAAGAAAACTCTCAATTTAGATCAGAATGTATTGTCTTCAAGAATTTCAAATTTTAGGGTTTTCAAGTTCAGACATAGAAAAATCAAAAGGGAATAGCTCAAAACAGGAACAACTATTTTCAGAATCTAAAGAGAGAAAACTAGGGGATGTCATGGATCTTAAGGCAAGTCTCGGAGACTTCCCAAACTATCATATTGTTTGGCTTCAATTTTGAGGAAATATTATTATATGTTTCTTCCTACCAATTTTATTATTTAGGGCTTCCGTTTGCATGACACAATCATACAAATAACCTGAAAGATAAGAGGATTTTTGTTGTAACGAAAGATAACCTCGGATATATTGCACAACATGGTTGTGCAAATGCCTAAAGATAAGCATTGCACAACATGGTTGTGCAAAGGCCTAAAGATAAGCTTAGGATTTATGTCGAGCCAGACAAAAAACCTCAAAGTCCTGTGACTTGATATGTAATTCTAAGAAAGGTTGTTGTTATAGACCAGTTTGTTCTCTCAAAGTTGTTCTTATGTACGTTCTTGTCATGCTACCCACAGAGTTATCTTCAAGCTCCTTGTTGAAGTGACAGCTCAATGTAAGAACTTTATGTCTTATGTTTTCTTTCAATCAATATATATAATACCAAGGAATTGAGATTTAGTGCTAACGTATCGTCCTGTCTCCTAAATACCAATCACCAATATGTGCTAATTCGACTCGAGAACCCAGGAAGCTGCTTCCAACTAGTCACGGTTACACACAAATATATATTTGTGTGTTTATATATATATATATATATATATTTCTTTTGTTTGGTTTGTTTTAATTATTATTTTAGTTTTAATTCTCTTTTAATTTACATTTAACTTTTAATTTTGATATCTATATTAGATAATGATTTAATATTTGAGTTTAGGTTTAATTTGTTTAATTTTAGTTTTTAATTTTATTTGTTCATTTTGTTAAACTTAATATTAGATTTGCTTTTAAGTAAATTATGATTTAGTTTAAGTTTTGTTACATCAAAGGTAAGAGTGACTTTGACTTATTCTATTTATAATCAAGGGATTTCATGTTTCTTGAATTTAGTGATAATGAATGTGTCAAAAACTTGGATGAGAGAAAAAACACTATAAGATTCGTTTTCTATGTGGAAGACATTGTTTTTACCTAGATGTCAAAGAAGCAATCAATCGTCGCCCGCTCTACTTATAAATTTGGGTATATTGTTGCAGCTCCATGTGTCTGTCATGCAATTTAACTCCAAAATTTGATGGAGAAGTTAAGATTGACATAAGAAGAGCCAAAAAAAATTTGTGTTGACAACAAGTCAACTACTACTTTGGCCAATAATCATGTTTTTCATTATCAAAGTAAACACATCTGCACATACTATTACTTCATTAGAGATTGCATCACAAGAAAGAATGCACAAATAGAATGTGCAGTCTCATGATCAAAGTCAATATCCTTACCAAACCACTCAAATATGAAAATTTTATCAGGATAAGAATTGCTTGGGACGACAAAATGAGTATAATAATAGGTGTTGATAAGTAAAATTGATTTTTTTTGCTCATATGAAATTGGGCTTTAATTGAGCCCAAAATCTAGAATGATCGTTCAAAAATTCGAATTACTTTCTGAAAAAAAAAAAAGTGTTAGAGTATTCTCGAGACATATTTTAAAAACGTAATTTAGAATATTCTATAATATGTAATTAATGACTTTCGTAACTGAAGATAGAAGAATATTCTAGATGGTTAATAGTAGCCATGAGACTGAAATGTGTGAGCATAATCATAATAGGAGTGTCACTGGTATAAATGGTGTGAGCGTTTGAGTCTGAATCTAGAAGAAGATAGAGTGAAATAGAATTGATACCTTCAAGTTGTGTTCCCCATCTTTCTTAGCATTCCTCCAGCCTTAATAGTCTTTTATTTCTAACAAAAGGCTCATTTAACTAATAGGGAGAAATATGTATTACTCATAAAATTATATTTCAAGACTTTAAATATTTAGATAAGGAAATTAATTATTTATAAAAATTATAAATATTTATGAAAAAAAGTGTAAGATTTGTTTTGCGATTAAACCACTTAAAATTATTATTTTTTTAGATAAAATTAAATTTTCACCTTAATTTTAAAAAACATATATATTTTCTTAAATAAATATCTCACGATCCTAATATAATTTTATTTTGGTAGCTCCATGACAATTTATAAACTAAGCCAAATTAGAGTGTGAGATATTCATAGCTCATCACATTTCACAACTCCTTCCAATTTCCGGAAATTTTTATTTAAAAATTTGAAGTGATGGAAAAATGAGCAGACATGATAATCCTTGAACATATCCTCATCCGTAATTTGATTGCCATTTTATGTGTCACATATCTAACACCTAAACCTTTATATTTATTAATACCTCACTTGAAATTTACATCCCATCAAAACATGTATGAAAAAACACATGTAGAACAAGTTAAAGGATTAAAACATTTTTCTTATTTTATTTAAGCATTTGAGTTTTAACAAATAAAAATAAGAAAGAAGTGTTAGATATGAAAATACATTCCTATATTGTGCTTTGTCCATAACTTTTTGCTTGAATATTAAAGACCACATAAAATATGATTAATCTATGGCTCTAATCCAAGTTAGATTGAGCAAATCAAACTGAGCTGTGAACAACATTTTTACATGTTTTCATCTTCATATTTATTTTGAGTTGGGCATGAATAGAATCAAGCAACTTTAGATCAGCTTTAAAAATAAAAAGAGAAATTTATACACAAATCAAACAAGTATTATTTTATTTATAACTAATACACAGTTTGATATGTACCATAATAAGAATTAGGTGTTTAAACCATGCATGAAAGAGTGCATTCCACTTTTTAAAATTTTACAATAGCTACACTTTTTATATAATACTAAACATTTGAGTAGCTCGTATGTGAATATAAGTATTTAAGTGATAGATATATAAATATATAAAAATTGTGTCGCATGTAATTACATGCCCCATAAAAATATTATGTTTGTATTTTAAATATGAATACTTGGACACATTTTTGTATGCATTTAAACTTCAATGAATATTTAAACATGTATGTTGGATTTAAAATTATTCTAAAAGAATAAAAAATGATCAAGGACAAGTATTATTGTTCGCTCAAATTGCACTCAGATCAAAGTTAATAAATCACATTTAGATCATTTGGATCAAACAAGATTAAGGGTATGTGTAGCTTAATGAAAAATCTGCTTTTAAATTAGGTGCAATTGTTATTACAAATTTTTATTTTTTAAAAAAAATTAAACCGCAACCAGAAAACTGCCACAACACCTAAATATGTGCAGTATAAAAATGTTATTTTCAGCACTTTAGAAACACATAAACTGCCCAAACAGAGTATTTTTAAAACGCTACTGAAATTGAGTTAAATTTTGACCAAACTTGATGGTTTGGTCAAGCTCAAAGCTTTTGAACCGATTTAAGAAGGATGATCCGCTCAACATGAAATCATTAGCAAGAAAAAAGCCAAAACCTCTCTATAAATAGCTTCATAATAAACAACTTCAAAAGAGATAAATATTGGCAGAAACACCCTTGATAACAGCTATAGGGCACCTTTCTTGCCCACTAGCTTCAAATGCACACTTAATCCGTCGTACTCAAACTGAATTAAGGCAACATATACTTTCTTCCACACACTAAAAAGCATAATTATATATATATTACTACTTTCTGCTTAGCAAGCAAACTACAAAACACCAAATCCATCATACTCCAACTCAAAGCACTGATCAGATCAGATCCCCATAGCCATGCTGGTAAGAACCATCATCCCCGCAATCACTAAATTCATCCCTCCAAATCTAACTCCAGCCATGGATATCCCCAAAACCTTAACATCATCAACAACTGGACCGCACAATGAGCTATGGTCATCACTCCTTATGTTGTAATACACACTGTAGAACGCCACCCTTGTCCTCTCCGCTCTGGCAGTGAAGCTCACATTAGCTGCCATGGAAGTGGCGTTCCCGAGCGGAGCGAAATGAAAATTCTCCGCCTGGTCACCGGCGAATGCCATGACAGCTAACGGAGACTGGCATGAATCTCCAGCAGCGCCGATTGTGAAGATGAGACTGTATTGCTTGTCTGGTTTGGTCTCAACCATTTGGGAGATTATGCCTTCTTTGCCTGATAGAAGCTCAATGGCACGTTTTCCCTGAGGGACAGTGTAGTGGTCAGAGTCGACGTAGCGAACGGCTCGGTTGGATTCGACTATCCAGCCAGGAAGAGAGGTGGTCTCCTCATCGAGATTGGTGGGGAGGAGCACGCCGAGCGTTGAATTTTTGAACATCCATGGGCCTTCTTCAAAGTCGCCATTGATGACAGCGTTATCTGCAATAAGCGAATTTGTTAATTTGAGTTTTTGAATGCTGTAAAAGAGGAGAGCAGTGGTTATGAAGCTTCAGTATTTTTCTGATTTTTGTTCAAGGTAAATTTAGCCATACATGATATGACCGTATAAGAGTCATCAGATCAAATAAGAAGATGAGGAGTAAAGCGTGGGATAAATATCGACAGAGATGGGAATAAAAGTAGAATAGGAGGTGGAGAAAAGGGAAAAGCAGGAATTTCTTACATTACAGTCGCTAAAGCATACGGTAAACAAAACCCGAAATAAATAGAAAAGGAAAAGATCCAGAATCTGCTGCGATCAGTTCTCGAGGTTATGGTCCTGCGGCTGACATGGAAGACTATAAAGTGAAAGGGTGTGTTGAGCTGCACGTATATCATTATCATCCCCCGCAAGCTGATAACAGATTCACATAGAGTAAGATATGCTCGGAGCTTATGAACAGGTTGATTTCAGTTGAAATGTATGTGAGCGAGATTTCCTTAGAGAGAATATGTTCACGAATATGAACAGGTTGATTTCAGTTGAAATGTATGTGAGTGAGATTTCCTTAGAATATGTTCACGAGTGAAGTGATAATCAATTTCGACGTGCTTAGTTCTTGATTGTGAGCAATGGTCATGACAAAAGTGTTGTCACAGAATACGGTGGTTGGTGTAGTTGTAGGGATGTTAAAGTCCTAGAGAGGTCAGTGAAACAAGATTACGTCAATTGTTGTATTAGTTACGTCAATTGTTGTATTAGATAATGCTTTGTGTTCAGCTTTAGCGGAGGAGCGAGCAATGATAGGTGGAGATCTTAAATAGAGCAGGCATGACCGATTGCAAAATACCCAGAAAGGTGGAGACCGTAGAAGGTGGAGACCCAGAAAGGTGGAGACTGGCCCAACAGTTCATTGAGAGGGCAGTATGTAATTCTTGGATGAGTTTTTGTATCACACTTGATCATTTCCAGTTAATAGGATATCATCGGCATATAAAAGAAGATAATTTATGGTCGAATTGTGACAATAGATGAGGAGGGATGAATCGACTTTGCTCGGTTGAAACCCATTTTACGTATCAGTGTTGCTTGGTTAAAACCCAAAATGTATTAGGCGAGAGGAAAAGGTATCAAACCATTGGCGAGGTGCTTGTTGAAGGCCGTAGAAGGATTTTTGAAGATGGCAAAACATGATATGGATATGATGGATCAGAATATCCCAATGGCTAACACATGAATATGGTTTCTTTGAGGTTTTCATAGAAAAATGCATCGGAGACATCCATCTGAAAGACTTGTCACTGATGATGGAGGGCAACTGCGAGAAGAACTCGAATGCTTGGTAACTTTGCCACAGAATTGAAAGTTATGGTGTAATTTAGGTTACATTATTGTTGAAAATCTTGAGCTACAAGTTGTGCCTTGTATCAAGCAATAGAACCATCAGAATTTTGTTTAATTTTGAAGGTCTATTTGCTGCCCAGAACTAGTTGATCGGTGGGAGGGACGAGAACCTAGGTTTGCAGAGTTTGGAGAATTGTTATTTCGTCGGCCACAGCATGTTGCCAATAAGGATAGCTGATTGGTGCTTGTAGGTAAGAGGTTCAGTTTCAGGTTGAGAGAGATGCAAAAGATCAAAGATCTTTTTGGCTGTAAGAGAACCAGTTTTGGATCTTATAACAATAGGATGAGGTGACAGAAATTGGAGGGAGGAATTTGGGAAGGGGCTTAGTTGGCTATGTAGGTGAGGAGGATATTTGTAGAGGATTGAGTATTGGAGGAATAGGGTGGCTGCATAAGTGATGGCCTAGTTGGCATTGTAGTGATGGGCAGTGGAACGAGGATGAGGGGAATTTAGTTAGGAATCAGGTAAAGGGTGTGGGCTTGTAGGTGAGGGTGGCTGATTATTGGTAGCCGATTGGTTGAAAGGGAATGATAACTCATTGAAGGCAACATGACTGGAGATGAGTATTCTGTCGGTGGTAAGATCAAGTCATTTGTAACCCTTTGTGTTTTTAGGATAGCCGAGAAATAAGCAAAGGATTGCTATTTGCTAAAATTTGCTGCGGTCAGATGGTGGAAGCCAGGGATGACAGGCGCATCTGAATGTTCGTAGGAGGCTATAATCTGGAGATTTTCCATATGACAGTTGATAAGGTGAAACTTGTGATGTAGTCTTTGAAGGTACGGTCAGATGGTGGAAGCCAGGGATGACAGGCGCATCTGAATGTTCGTAGGAGGCTATAATCTGGAGATTTTCCATATGATAGTTGATAAGGTGAAACCTGTGACGTAGTCTTTGAAGGTAGACGATGGATGAGGTAAAGTGTTATAGCCAATTTTTCAAGCCTAAAAGAGGGGGGAAAGTCGGAGTCAGCTAGGAGAGCACGACATGTCTCATGTATACCTCTTTGTTTCCTTTCAGCTATTTCGTTCTATTCTGGTGTGTAGAGATAGGCAGTGTGATGAATAATATCAAGAGATAGTATAAAAATAACTGAGTTTCAAATTTTTTAATTCCTGACTCCCATCAGTTCTTAAAATTTTCGTTTTCTTGTTGAATTGAAGTTTGACAAGCTTTTGAAAGTTAATGAAATGTGATAGAACTTTTGATTTGTGAGGCATATGGTATAAAGCAAGAAAAATGGGTAGAATCATCAACAAATAGCACGTAATATCTATAACCTTGAACATATGGTGTAAGGGATGGTCCCCATACAGGTAGAATCATCAACAAATAGCACGTAATATCTATATCCTTGAACATATGGTGTAAGGGATGGTCCCCATACATCGAAATATATAAGTTGTATGGCATTTCATTTGAGTAATATGAGAAGAAGAAAAGGATAGACAATGACTTGTAGTTAGAGTACATGACTCACAAAAAGAAAAATAACTGGTAATTGAAATATGAGGATGTTAGTTAGCAATAGTTGCAAGAGTGTAGTGATTGGTGTGTCCCAAACGTTAATGCCAGGGGATATGACGATTTCTAGTAGAGAGGAGGGCTTTGTGAGTTTATGGAATTGGGTAAAACCCATTGCGGCAAAAGCCTTGAAGAAGATTTTGTTGTGTTATCCGGTCCTTGATTTGAAACAAGCGGCATCAAAGACTATCAATTGTTATCAACAGCAAGTTGAGAAATAGAAATTAAGATGTGGGAAATTTGAGGGGGTATAATGGAGTTTAGCAATGATTAGCTTACGGGAAGAAGTTGGTAATATACCATATCCAGAGTGTTGTATAGGAATCATTTCACCATTCCCCACATGAATCTGGCCGAGACCTTGATTTGCTGAGCTAGGTGTAGTTGATCCAAGGATGGGGTTAAGTGAGTTGTAGCACTAGTGTCGAAATACCAATTCAGATTGGTTGTGTAAGATGTAACGAGAGCTATAGATGGTGGAGGCCTGGTTAGCTGATAGTTAGCATTGAGTCGGTGTCAGCATTCAAGCTCAATATAGCCAGGTTTTTTGCATCTTTTTCGACAGTAGATTGATCCATTTGCTTTGGGTTGTCGGGGAACTAATTGATTGGTTGTGAAGTATGTAGCACTCTTGTAGTCGAAGATATTGGTGCTATTTTTGTCTTTGTGGTAACAGTATTTGCCTTTTTCGCTTTGTGTGCATAGAGCTAGGTGAGGATCAAGTGGGTTGGATGGTGGAATGATCGTTGGCAATGTTAATCTCTTCACTGAAGAGAATATATTAAAGATTTTCTAGTTCGATAGGAAGTAAATGAGTTCTTATTATTGTTTTAAAGACTTGTTAATATAGTGGAATCCCTTGAGGATATAGAGTATGATATCTTCGGTATCGATGGAGGTTCCAGCCGCAACGATGTTCTTGACTAGTGTTTTGATCTATGTAAGGTATTGATTCATTCCTTGATTGTTCATCGATACATTGTGAAGTTTGTTTTTCAGATAGATGGCCTTTAATCTATTTGCGGCTTGCAATCTCTTTTATAACGTTCTCCAAATTTTCAAGAAGCTCTCGAAATGAAGAATATAGAGCAAGAAAGTGGTGGAAATGGTATAGGATATTGGGGCGGGCAGCTAGGTTCTGATCAACTAGCATCCAGGTATGATAATCAGAATTTGAAATGCAGGTACCTAATTTGATCGTAAGAGTATATTGGGGCTATTTGACTAATCCATCAAAGACCCTAGAAATCCATTTGCCTTCATGATTTTGAGAATCTAAAATCCCCAAATAGGATAGTTATCAGTGGATAGGGAAGTGGTGACTACAGCTTTGATGTTAAAACATCAAAAATTTCACGTACTGACACATGCTATTTAGGGAGACCATAGATGTATTGGCATTGGAGGTTGCAGAGTCTTCCAATGCAGCTTTGTTGAAGCTCTGATACCATGAAAGAGATGAGAGAAGTAGCAGAAGTAGAATCGAAGGAGAAGAAAAGTGAAAACCATGAAGAATGCTAATTCATTGATTTGAATATCTAACAAAACAGCTAAATCATACAATAAACAAAACCCAAAACAAATAGAAAAGAAAAACATCGAGAATCATAATGAACAACTGCGAATAGTCCTGGAGCTTATAGTCCTGTGGTTGATATGGAGAGCTGTAAAGTGAAAGGTTGTATTGAGCTGCAAGTATATCATTATCAAATATTACCACAGTAGATGGTGAATACTGCTAAAAGAAGATGATTCCATTTTTAAATCCTTTATATCAATTTATACCGCTGCAATGTCTAACTAACAACCAACCCAAACAAAGAGCCTAGTTCCTCTCGCCCCCAATCAATCTGGAGAGATTGTGTCATCATGATATCCTTTACTCTGTATTTCTTGGTTTGAAAGCTTATTTCTAGTATGTATTTTACGAGCTATTATAATGTGCTTAAAATTTATGTTTTTTTTATATGAATGAGTTAATTTACATGCATTATATGTAGCAAATCAAGAAGAATCCTACAAAGAAAACTCTACAACCTATAACTTGCCTCTTTCATAATTCATACTTCGTAGAGTAATGATCATAGTGAATGTCATTGCTGTAAATTCAAGTTGTGTTACAGTTGTAATTTGTAAACTTAAGTGGTAGTTAAGGACGATAATAAGTGGTTATGTAAGTATTAAAAGTTTTGTGTGTTTCAACCAAGCAAGGTAATCATGGAAGGCTGACCTTTTATATACACAAGCACGAAAGAAAACAATTATGCTTGATTAAAATTATAGGCCAAAAATTTAAATCAATCTATTAGAACCATCGTCCCAAGTTTATTGCACACAAGGAAGGTGACTATTTATGCCTCAGTGCACAATGCTTCCTAAACAGATCAATGAGAACAAGGAAACACCCGACAAGTTTCAAATCAATACATTGTAATACATGGAAAGACACACTACAAAAACATAATGCTTTGTTGTTAAAAAATGCCTGGTCAGCTCAAAGAAGGCAAGGAAATGCATGTTGAGGCTCAAAATAAATTAATTGAAAGCTCAATTTTTCTTGATTAGCACACAAAAGGATAAAAAAAATGTGAGCTAAAACTCTCCCAACAAGTTGAACCATGATTTGATTAGCTCAACAAAGTGGAATTAAAATATAGCCCAAGATCATAAAGTAGAATTTTTTTAAAAAATGTGCAAAGAGAATAATGTCGCGACTAAAGACCGTAGAACCAAGTTATTTTATTATCTCAATAAGAACTACAAAAGATGGAACATAGCCTAAAGTAACATAAAATCTCTTTGATATATAGAGAATAAACGCATGAGTACCTATTGGAGTAGTATTGTAAAAATTAAATTATATAACATAAAGTTCATTTTGGGAATAAAGGAAATGGAGTGAATGTTTCGATAATTTCCTCCATCTTCATGAAAAAAAATGATAATGTTTCCCCAATTTACAGCCCTCAACTTGCCCTAAATTTGCATAACATACGGATGAAAACCTCCATCTTCATGAAAAAAAATGATAATGTTTCCCAAATTTACAGCCCTCAACTTGCCCTAAATTTTCATAACATACGGATGAAAAAAAAAAAAAAGCCATGAAAAATATTCTAAAATTTTGCCGACCAATATTTCATAGCACACAATTTTTATGCATTTACATATCTCACACCTAAACTTCCTTCTTAAATATGCAAGTTTAGGTGTGACAAGTAAAAACATAAAAATTGTAAATTTCTCTATTTTATATCAACAAAATTTGCCAAAAACTATATAATAAGTTCTGATATAAAACAACATCAAATAAAAATAAATCTGATATAAATTATAAGATGTTCATATTGTTTTTAAACAAAAAAATCATTACTGTTGTCATTTATCTCTGCATAAAAATCATCTAATTTATATCAAATAAATTTTATTCTGAAGAATAACTTCCCAAGGTGCACTGATAAATAGTTTGATCAATTAGCTAAAAATGCAGTCTTTATCGACTAAATTTCAATGCATCATTCGTTGATCAATAGTTTTTTGTTCCCACAAATTCCTTCTTAAATCATAGAGATTAGAGACATGTACCTTCAGCGCGGTCCGGAACGAAGAGTTTCTTGATGGCAATATTATCAATAATGGGACCACAGGTGGGGTCCTCTTCCATGCCCGGATTTCTGAACGCTAGCTTCGTCGTCTCCGCATCAACGCCGTCGCTTCCGGCGGAGCTGCCGGCCAGGAAAGCCCAGGCATAAGTATCCCAGCCCTCAACGCTGTATAGCGTCTGAAGATCCACCGTCTGTGAAGAAGCCCCGGCCACCGACATGTCGAGAGACTCCAGCTGCGCGCACGTGCGAGCCGCACTGAACGTCACCGCATAGATGGACCCCTTCTCCACCTCCACGTCCTGGCTCAACCCCGCCTCGTTCCCCAGCCGGACCGCGTGCTCACCTGCACCGTTCGATCTGTATCAAGTGGTTGTGGTTTTTCTATCAAGGCACGAAATTTGATGACGTTTGCTCTACCTTGGGGAACGATGAGGATCATGCCACCTTGGCGCTGGCCGGAGCGCACCACCTCGACGGTGCCGTTGATTTCCCAGCCGGGGATGGTGGCCGCGCCCTCCCACATCCCGGCGCTGGGGAACCCACCTGCCGGAATCGTCTCGAAATCCCCGTTTTCCAGCGGACCTGAAAGAGGATCAACGCCGTCCATTAAGTGATAGTTTATCCTGATTCATTACAGCCATCTCATGAGTCATGACGATGAGGTAATATCCAAAAGTATATATATATGATGCTAAGGTTTCGAACAAAGATTTTAGAAAAAAAATTTACTCCCAGGAATGGATTTAAAATTATTCTGTTTTAATATATGCATTAAAAAATATAGCCAATTATCAAATAATATAACTCAATTATGAGATAATATGACTAGATTATTAAAAGTTGCAAAAATATTCATGATAATAAAATAATACGAACATTTAAAAATTTATAATATCGTCCAATAACTTAGCTATGCTCATCTTCTAAATTGAATTAGATTCTATAATATATTATATATATATATATGCATATGAAAGCAAGAATATAAGCAATAAAACAGCACTATGTGGAAATTAAATATCTCGGGCTATTCTAACAATTTTTAAAGATTTTTTCAATAGATTGACATCCGTTGGTTTAGTGTAAAACAAAAAGAAGTAAATTTAACCCCAAAAAAAAGGAACATTGTTGTATTAACAATAAAATGTATCTTACATTGATACCCCCATCCAATTCTTCCCAAAAACAAATTAAAAAGAAAACAAAATGTACATATAAAAATATGACAGCACGAATCTCAAGGCAGACGAACGGCTCAAGAGAATGATACTGATGATCAGACATCCATTTTCGACCATCTTGAGCCAAATATTTGACAAGGGAGACGTCGTGTTCGAGCAATTGACGGAACATGCCAAGAGATTTTCAGTAGGGCGGGGATCAACCCTCAGGATGATCAATAAAAAAGATGCTCTCTTTCGGATTAAATATTGATCAAGCTAAGGTTCAACTGATGGTCGGCAAAATATTATCGATCGAATAGGTTATCCAATTTTATTACATATTAATAACTCTATAATTATCAAAAAGTCCCACTGAAAAGTCAATGATGATAGGATTAATATGTACTTTTCTAATATTGAGACATATGTCTATAAATAGAAGGTACAACGACAACAACAAAGCCTTAATCCCACTACGTGGGGTCGGCTACATGAATCCTTTTCTCGATTGCATCTTATTTAGTGTAATATTTTCATTTAGTTCTAGTAAATTAAGATAATTTTTAATACAATAAGCCTGAGTCTTCCTAAGGGTCTATTTGGGGCAGCTGCGGCTTATCCAGCCAGCTGATCCAGATATATTGGCTGGTTGTTTGATTTGTGCGTTTAGAAAACAGCTGATTCTGGATAAATGACTATTCTGCCCCTGTTCCGAATAAGCTGTTTAGCTGTTTGGTTTGTGTGTTTTGTAAACAGTTTAAACCCTTGCACGCTGATATCATGCGCATGGGATAAATCAACATAAAAAAATAAAGCAGTTTCAGCTTTAACTCAAATTTGGCAAAGAGAGGGCCAAATTAAAAACAAAAAAAAACAGCTCAACAGCAAAACCCTTGCAAATTTCTAATTGGGTTACAAATTTAAAAAAAAAAGTACAAATGAACAGAAAAGAAAAACTTACCTATCGATAAATCAGATGCTCCTAGCTAAAGCCAATGTCGTCAACAGTGGAGAAGGCTCTATTATTCTGAAGCTTCTACTCTAAAGAAGAAATCCCACTGCCAGACAGAAAAGGAGGAGATTCCTGGACCGCAAACCTTCGACTTCTCCTCTTGTAGAAAAACAGAAATTTCTTTCTCCTCCTAATATAAACATTTACCATTCTCTTGCTATCAGGTCTGTCGAGGCTTACAACAAACCAAAGAAGGATTAGCATATGGTATGGACAGCGAACCAAATTGACGTGAAGGGTCGACAATTGATTGAGAACGAAGGGTGGGAAGAATTTGAAAGCCAGTGGAAGCTCCGCCAAGGACTGTAAACCCCAAAGAAAAGCAGTGTCGAAGGAACGCGAAGAGAAGGAGTGCCGAAGATATGGTTCTGCGAGCTCGATCGCGAGGCAGAGGGCGATCGCGAGGCAGAGGGTGGACTGTAAACCCCAAAGAAAAGCAGTGTCGAAGGACCGCGAAAAGAAGGAGTGTCGAAGAAGTGGTTTTGCGAGCTTGATCGCGAGGCAGAGGGCGATCGCGAGGCAGAGGGTGATCGCGAGATCCCAGGGCAGGGGAGTAATTATGGACAAAACGCCACAAGGAAAAGCGGCCCGCGGGATCATTATTCACAAAATTAAAACCACGTTTTTTGAAACACCCGTAAAACATGAGAAACAAACAGTACAGCGGCGTTTTTGAAAACACCACCGCACTTATAAGCTGCCCTAAATGGACCCTAAGCCTATCTTTGCCTCTCTTAACACAAGTCGAATCAAAAACATCTACTATCCTAATCGGATCATCAGATAGTCGATGGTTAATGTGACCAAACCATCTCAGACGACTTTCTCTAAATAGGAGATTCATATTATGAATAAAGACTACTCCCTCTAATCACTTTCTATCATAATGTTCTATTTCTTGGGTGTGTTTCACAAATATTTTTGGATTCAACACAAGACAAAAGTACAAACCAACCTGATGATTTCTGACTTACAATCATATTAGAAATACAAATATCATTTAACTTACAATCATATTAAAAATACAAATATCATTTAATATTTTAGTATAGGGCAATTCTATACATAGAACGAAATGTTACTATTTATAAATATAGCACCGCCGTTCATCCATTTCATAAATACTCGGTCATATATCAAAAATTACAACAAAACCCAAGTATACATATCAATCAAATATCAAAATTATATAATATATCAAAAGAGAGTCAACTAAAAGTTTCAACCTTCACATGACATCATTTTTAAAGAGAAAAACAACAGAATTCTGGTTGGGTATTGAATGAGACCACGAAAAGAGCAAGACCCAGAAAAGCACATATGAAAATGGACCCCTTGCACGCTCTCACCTTGTCCTGCGAAGATTCTTAAACGAGTAGATAGAAGAAATGTTCACCATAAATGAATTAACATCACCATTTTTTTCCATCTATACTAGTTCCCATTTCAAAACCGGATTAAAAAACAACAATAACTAAACATAAAAATGACTTAAAGGATTGCTTAAATTCACTTTTATTTTTTATTACTTTTTATATTTATTTTTATTTTACTTTGTTAAAATTTTGATTTAAAAAATATATAATTTGGAATATGAAAATGTGACTAATTGTTTTAAAAATACTTTCATTAAAATATTATTTAAATGTTTTTGAAATAAGTTAAGTTATATTTTAAAATATAAAATATACATTAAATAAAATTATTTTAAGAGCAAAAATAATCCCAAACACCAAATATATATATATATATATATATATTTAGATTACATATTGTTATAATGCTCATTTTATTTAAAATATTTACCATGTGCTAAAATCCTTATCTTACTTCTTCTCTAACTTTTTGCTCCATGTCATTTTTTTTTACATTATATTGTTAAAATGCTCATTTTTTAAAATTATTTACGATATGCCAAAATGAGGCCAATTTTTTTCTGAAATTTTTTGCTCTACATCATTAATTTTTTGCACTATATTGTTATAATGCGCATTATTCTTTTAAATTATTTACGATATGTTGAAATTCTACCACTTTTTTTCCAAAGTCTTTTGCTCCATATCTTTATGATGCCTGCAAATTTCTTAATTTTTTAAATTATTTCTACTCTATTGAAATGATGTTCGTAATTTATTTGAATTATAAACGACATGTCGAAATACTAACCGAAAATATTATCAATTAGTTCTGCTGTGTCGAATTGATGTTTGTGCCGATAGGATAGTCTTGCGCTTCATTCTTAGCAAGGTAAAAGTAATTAAATTATATATTAAGTTTGTTTAAATCTAGATGTAGTTTAATTATATTTATTTTTATTGTGCAGTACTTATTACGAGAACAAAATAAAATAATCCTTAGGTTAGAGATATATGTACATGAAATGGAATATTTTTTAAGCCATAAAAAACTTTGTCAAAATAACCTAAAGTGTCTAAGAAGAGCTTAGGACGTAAGCAGTCTTGCAACCCCCTCCTTCGGATACAGAGACCACCATTTTATGGTCAAAAAGACCTAAACTATTAATGAATTTCATGTGAAATTATTTTTATAACTAACTAAATATAATTTTTATATGATCACATACTTGAAGCTACGAGTTATGCACTAGTGGCAAGAGAATGGTGAGTTGCATACCCACAACTTTTCAATGCAATCTAAATTGCAGTAATCAAATGTATCGGGCACATAACTACATCAAATTATATCACTATTTTATAACTGCACTGGTCGAGGAATGGTGCCCCATGACCAATACGTTCCATTTACTTGTCGGCAACATAAATTAACTTCTATATTTCTACGTTGGTATGTTAATTTTCTTTTTCTTATTTCTATAATGTACATGTCTATCTGTAAGTTAACCGTAACTTTTGACATTCAAGCACTCCTCGGTAATAGGACAGATAGAAATGTCCGAGTGGAGCCTACTGTTGTTGGCTCAAATTGAGCTGGCCGAGTTGGTCGGCATTTTGTAATGACTTGTTTAGTGATCATCCCAAGGATGACGTTATCTATCACCATCACATTGACCATAACAATACATCAAAATTATATATAGGAAAGTCTCATTCACAGGCTATAGTGTCATTGTGTTAGCACCCCTGCAATTCTGTTGTGAAAAAACGACGACCATAAAGTGAAAAATCAGTACATCAAAATTATATATAGGAAAGTCTCATTCACAGGCTATAGTGTCATTGTGTTAGCACCCCTGCAATTCTGTTGTGAAAAAACGACGACAATAAAGTGAAAAATCAGATCGAGAAAAATCGCAAAACAAAAACACAGACACAGATTTATGTGGTTCGACAAATTGCCTACGACCACGGAACTGCAGAAGATTTTATTAACTCGAGGAATAACATCTGTCGATCACTTCGACGTTTATAGGAGAACACTCTTCTCTCTCTCTCCCTTTCTCTTTCTCTCTCCTCCTCTTCTCTCTCTAAATCGAGAGTCACACCAAGA